TGCATTTTTTTATATTTAATATAATGCTATACAGGGTGTTTCTGGAGAAACGCAAACGGTATGGATTTGAAATTTTAATAGAATATACAATTTGATTTAGACTATACATAAAGTCAATAGTTTTCAAGATATTAATTTTTTTCGTTAAAATGCACGTTAATCAAAATAGCCTCTAATTTGTTTGTTATTATGTTTGTTGACATGGGGTTGGAATTTTTGGAATATTAAAACATTGTTTAGTTTTTTCAAGGTTTTTCAACAAATACCTTGAGAAAAACCACTTGAAATTAGGCAAACTTCAAACAATAACAACGTTTTTATTATAAATGTAAAACCCTGTATGTTTTAACATAATCAAATAAAACATTAAAGAATCTTTCGATTGGTATTATAGTAACTCTTTCCTAAAGTTAAAATTTCAGAGACATTTAACAATTTCTAATATTCAATACTATTTTGTATCAACAAACCTCTGAAATTCTACATGTGGTTTAATGTAACAGTATCCATGGTTACCACCAAATCTGTCATTGTTTAAAATTAATTAAAATATTTGATTGAAAAAATAATAACTCAAAAAATATTGACTTTAGGTATAGGATATGGTATAGCCATTTTACTCAGAATTTTATGTAGAATTAAATAATGTAAAAATATATGAGGTATTCCGGTAAAACAGGAAGTATTATTTTGTTTAAAATAATTTAGGAAAGCGAATACTTTACGCTATTAAAATTTTAAATCGATGTCTCGCGATTCCCTAGAAACTTCCAACGGACTAAGTACGTGAAACACCCTGTATATTAAACGTCATTTATGTGTTATGCTTTACTTAATTATTAATAAAAGACATACAATATTTGTATAAAAATGACAAAATGTACTAAACTAAGCATTTATGAATACTGCTACTGCTAATTCAAAACTGATCCTGGCCACAGAAACATCATTTGCATAAAAAAGTTAATATATCAAATAATAGTCAAATATCAATACTTTCACGTGCTATACTCAAATTTATAAAACAAAGTTGCTTCTTCGATTATTTACCCTTTAAAAATTGTTAAATTTTAAACTAAATTATTACCAGCGCCCCCTGTACGTTATAATCTAAACAAAATTTTTTCATGGATTAATTGTCATTAGTAAGATCTACATTTTGTCCAAATTTCAAATCGATACGTTTTGAAATAAAAAAGTTATTTAAAAAAAATGAAATTTCTTCATTTTTAACACAGCGAAGAAAAAAATTAAAATAAAAACAAAGTTGTCAATGGACGAGATTTTTTTTTTGAAAAAAGTACTGCATTAAGATGTAGAAATAAGGTAAAAAAGTTTCAATCGATTTCTTGAACCCTTGCAAATCGACCGTTCGATCCTTTCGCGAAACCGTAGTTAAGAGAGAAAAATTGTTAATAATTAAGTTAATTCATAAACAAAAATATACCAAACTAAAGACAATAATTGGCTTAATTAATAATATTTATTCGAAAGTCGAATTTATGCTGCTAGTGTCATGAAAAAGCATTGATTAATATAATACTTTTCTTTACGATTTTTAAAATGTGCTTAATAAAAGTGTTGCTGGGTAAAAAAGTTTTGCTAACCAGAAAACGTATACTTTTCTTTACTATTTCTCTTAGTAAAGTTAGTATGCTATTTTTCATTAAGAATACGAACAAATATAGCCTTAAAAAATATACCCTTCAAAAAGAATTACTATAGTAATTACTATAATATTAATGGTAATTATTCATGTTAAAATGTATAGCAAGAAAAAATAGAAACTAAAACCTTGAAGGTTAAAAAATAATAGGGATATTTAAAATTTAATATAAAATTAATTAAAACTTTTTAAACCTCACTAATTCCTAATACAGACATTATTTTATAAAGATGCAAAATATTTATATTAAAAATTACATAGAAGAAAAATCACATGTTAAAAATTCATTTATATCTTATTAAAGTTGACTCGCTAAATACCGTATTTCTAGGAGACGCAATAAGGTCGCGAAATGTAATGACGCAATATTGTATATACATATATATATTACATTCTTAGTACAATATTGCGTCATTACAATTTGGCAACACTGTAGGACGCAATAAAGTCTGTACAAGCCATATAAAATTTAAAATGAAATATACACGTGACGCAATATTATATCAAGATTAAAATGAGTTGATAATGTAGTGACTTTTGAAAAAAAAGTGTATATCTTATTTTTTAAGATAAAAAAAATCTGACCAGATTTTTAAAATCAGCAAAAAAAAGTACGCCAATATACTCTTCCATATTTTCGCTAAATACCGTATTTCTAGTAGACGCAATAAGGTCGCGAATTGTAATGACGCAATATTGTATTAGGGATGTATATATATATATATATATATATATATATATATATATATATATACGCGTAAAAGTACCAAGTGACACCAAAAACTACATGGACGTTCCCGCACCCAATATTTTTTGCGCTTAATGTGAATTAATGGCACCTTATATATTTTTTAAGTATATATGCGTTCTGACACTATACAGATATATAATACCTTTATTTGAAAGTCAGTGTTTATAAAAGTAAAACTAAAATATTGCTCGCTTTAGGAAGTCCTTTGTCGAAATAGTCAGTTGTTTCGAATAAAATACTTATTGTCATCACATTTATTTTACTTTTCGTTTTAAATATTCTAAATTAAAAACTAACCTTGGAGAATACACAAACAGTCGTAACAATAATTTAAATAGAACTTTGCAATAAATTTCGTTTTAGCAAAAATTTACAAGAAACGATCCGTTCGCTAACACTTCCAAAAACTTTCTGCCTGTTTTTTGTTCGTTTTTGGGTGTACAAAACAAAAAATCCATTTTTACACAATTCATGTGATTGCTGTTTTTTCACGAATATAAATTGTGACAATAATAATTTTGGCATACCGAGTTTTTTTAATTTAATTTATATTATTATACAAGGCCTGCATATTGAGACATGTGATCTTATTCAAGGGGTAAAGTAATTTTTTTTTATTAAAGTACTTAGAAAAAAACAATATTGTGATTATAAATTAAAATAAATTTGGTATTGCAATAACAATTTTGTTTGCCCTTTATTATAAAAAAATTATCATCCTCTTGCCCGTTCAATTATCATTTACTAATATGTCTTTATAAAATTATCAATTTTACCCATTGGGTGCAACCGTTCTGGCAAACCAGCTATGAAATGACATAAAAATAAAATCCTTGTGGGGGCCCAGCCTTTAATTGCCCCAAAACATTAAAAAACTTATTTCCATTGTATTATCTGCAAGACGAAAAACGTGACGCGATGCTTAAAAATTATGGCAACATTGTAAGATTGCTTAGATTGCTAGTTATCTTTGTATGTTATAAAAATATGTTATTATTTTTCTATTATTTTAGAAGTACGACAAAATTTAAATTATTTTCTCAAGATTACAGATTTTGAAAATAGACTTAAAAAATGATACCCGTGTCTCGGCATGTTTTCAGATCACGGCTTCAATAACAGCTAAATGTATAGTTTTTGAAAAATTTTATTTAATGAATACATTTTATTTAAAAAAAACTCAAAAATTATTTTTTTTTTAATTTATAGAATTTTTTTATTTAAGTATAATTTTTCTAATATTTAAAACATCAATATTTGAAAAGATAATTTATAACAAAATAGAAAATTAAATATATGTATATGTTAAAATAATAAGAATGGCTGTATAAAAAATTTTAATGACGTGATTTCGTAAAACGGTAAGTCACGGACATGTTTTTTTAACCTATATTTTAAAATCTGTTAAATTTTTTCATGGGGGGTAAATCGTGTTAAACTGTATAAGAACCTTATTTAAAAAAAATATTCTTTCGCATTTTTTTAATAAATAATAATAATAATAATAAATAAAAATAATAATTTTTATTTTCAATATAAAAACTTAAAAAATATGTAAAATCAGGGGGCCCAGTAAAGATTTTCGCGGGGGGGGGGCAATATCTGCCTGCTGTTATGTTAAGTATTGATTTTTATTTTTTAAATATTGACAAGAAAATACTTACGAAAATCTTCTAATGCTTTTTTACTAATTTTTGTGACCTAGTCATAAAACGTGCAAAAGCATCCCTAGTTTCCGCAAATAATTGATTGTTTCCCTAATTAATTTAAAAAAGTTTAAATACTTAGTACCTACTTACCACCAAAAACTTTGTATTTTTGATCCATTTTTATCTAATTTCACTACTTCACTAGCCGTAAATAATACTAAGGAGCCAAATAGATACTTCTTAATAGTAAATTAAATTAAATCTTAAATATCGGAAAACGTCTAGAATCTAGACTCAAGAAATACATGGTGCCGCAACGTCCTATTGTATATATTCTATCATGGTGCCGCTACGTTGTATAGTTTACTTACGTAGTTAGCGCCCTCTGTAGATTATATGGTTCAACTAAAATTGTACTTTTCTATATATATAGTCCAAGTGGCACCATCTGGAAATTTTGTAGGGATAATACTATGACACATTAGAGTTTATATATGAAATAAAACGTTCTGGCACCTTGAAATGGTGCCACAACGATTATATAGGTGCCACTTGGCCCATATATATCCGAATTTGGTGCCTTAACGCCTGTTTGTATATATATATATATATATATATATATATATATATATATGTAATAAATAACCCTATTAAAAATGCCCTATAGAACCCATATTGATCCAGATAAGGAAATTAATATGGATTTAAATGGTTCTACATATATATATATATCAATATATCAATATGGGTTCTATAGGGCATTTTTAATAGGGTTATTTATTACATAGAATTTACGCGAAAAAACTACTTAAGTTTATATCCTGTTAAAATAAATACCTACCCTTATTATAAACCAAAGAAAATTTAGAGATAAACGATATAAGCATATCGAAAATCTACCAGCAAATTTTATAATGTGTTAATTTGTTTTTAGAATCATACGAAGACGAAAACTCGGACCCCGTAATAAACATAACTCCTGTGGAGACGACGCGCATGTTTTGGCAATATCAGCGCAGAGGTTCTGCGCCGCTGGACTTGCCGCCACTGGTGGGCGGCGGCAATGGCGGTATGCTGGACCGACGCGAGTTGACGCGACACACGAGTCTGAACGGGAAGGCGGGCAGACGGAAGAAACAGCTGCGCAGGCGCAGCTCGGGCGGGCCTGAAACCGTCTGTTTGTCCGACGCGCATTCCGAGACCCTGTCGCGCCTGCTACTTCGGCGACCTGAAAATTCTGACGCGCTGCTGGCTCGGCGAAGAGGATCACTGCCTATCGAGGTCCTAACTGTTGGACACTCTGGTAAGAACTCTGCACTACACTTTTTTTATTTTAAAGGGCTGAGGTAATTTAAAATTACTAATTGTATTTATTTTTTGTTAAAACTAAATAAATTTTTTTTTATCAAGAATTTTATAACGATTTTTATTTTACGAGTCTGCCATAATATGAATGTTATTTATTTTATTTTTTCTTATAATTTAATGTGTATTAAATCATTTTTTACGTGTAAATCCCAATTAACATTTTTGTTTTCGTTGGCTCACCCTGTATCTTGGGTAGCTGGTATCTGGTAATATATTTTTATAATTAATTTATGAATTATACTTAGCATGTGCTAGGTATATACAGGAAAAGTAATTTTTCATAATTTCTTTTGTTTGTTATACAAGGTGTCCCTAAACTTATTGCCATAAAATTAGGAAAATGTCAAAATAAGACTAAAACCCAAATAAATATTTGTCCTAATGTTACTTATGTTTCCAAGATACAGGGTGATAAAGTGTTACTTATCATATCAGTTTTTTTAATATAACCTCTACTATGGTAGTCTTGGAAAGGTGATATTTTGCGAACAGTCACTTACTACAAAAACACATATTCACACATAATTATAATTAAGGTTAGGTTTTTATAACATTTGATGCAATTTTTAGATTACACAGTTCGGCTTCCATTAAAAAGGTGTACCTTTCAAACTTCGATAAAATAAACCGTTTCTGAGATATTCGAGATTACAATAATTGTTATATCGCATTATTTAAAAGGATTAAAAAGTACATATGTAATCAATTTGTTATGATATCATAACAAATTGATTTCGATTCTTCTTTTCTACTTTTTGCTGATGATCTAAAAATATACAGATGCATACAATCTTCAGCCGACATAGACCGCCTACTAGCCGACTTTGATGCACTCAATATCTGGTGTTTAAACAACCAGCTATCCTTGAACGTAGACAAATGCTTAGTCATGGTATTCACGAGAAATAAAAACCTCACCTTCCAAGAGTACCACATTGCAAACGAAAGACTCAAAAGAGCGGATTCTGTCAGAGATTTGGGGTTTTTTTTAGATTCAAAATTATCATATATTAATCACTATGATTCTCAATTAAACAACGCCTCAAAAATGTTGGGTTTTTTAACAAGAACAACTTCTAATTTTTCCAACATCAGATGCCTGACTATCCTCTACTCAGCACTAGTTAGATCTCAGCTCGAATATGCATCTGTCATTTGGACTCCATACTTTGAAATACACAAAAGAAGAATTCAAGCGGTTCAGGACAAATTTCTTAAAACTCTTACCGGTAAATTGAGACTGAATGGCATAGTACTTAATGAAACTCAGACAGCAGAATATGCAGGGCTTTTATCCCTTGAGCGTAGGCGAACTTCGTCAGACTTGTGCTTTTTCTTCAAAATCATCAATGGTCCCGTTATTTTGGCAGATTTTAACATCTTTGTCCCTCCTAGAGCAGTTAGGCATAAGCCTCTTCTATGGGCTCAGCACAGCAGAACTGTGCATGAAGCTAATTCACCGATCCATCGAATTACCAGAACTGTCAACGATGCCAACTCCAGCATTGAATTCTTTGGGACCACACTTGAGAAATTCAAGAACTGCCTCAAGCATGCGATGTAGCTTTAACCTCTGTAACTTAAGTTTCCGTACTAATTAGTACGGATCCTATGATCTTATTATCTATTAATCGATTTGTTAAGTTTTTAAATATTATATTAAGTTAATTTAGTTTTAATTAATTTTCAGTATATGCATCTTCTATACTATTTTTGTAATATGCACGATATTTCACATGTAGGTACTTACCTTTTCTATTGTAACTGCTAAATGCGTTAAATAAGTAAATAAATAAATTTTATTTTTTAGTTGAAAAAACTAAAAAGGGCATTCCATGAGCCTCGGGACTTTTTGCCCTGAACGTCACATTAAAAAAAATGTAGTTTTTTCAATTAAAAAATTTGTTATCACATACCTTTTAGTCCTTTAATGCGATATAACAATTATTGTAATCTCGAATATCTCGGAAACGGTTTATTTTATCGAAGTTTGAGAGGTACACCTTTTTAATAGTAGCCGAACTGAATAATAGAAAAATTGCATCAAATGGTATAAAAACCTAACCTTAAAGTTTGTATGGGAAAATAAGCTTAAGCAACCCCTGTTTCTGCGACACTGTGTTCACTTGAACAATTGTAATTATGTGTGAATATGTGTTTTGGTAGTAAGTGACTGTTCGCAAAATATCACCTTTCCTTTCGTCTGGGAGACACTCATCAACGAACAAAGCGCTGTCACACCCTCACCTTTTGTTTTAAAAATCTGTCGCTTCCAATACTTTTAAGTTAGGCAGTTATCAATATGCTCTTAGACTTTGAACAGGTTGGATTGTCAAACGGACAAATTATTAGGAGTCAAAGTGTTGAGGTGTCTATTAGACCACTGCGTACCGTTTACGTTATTTTTATAAAACAATTAATTCGTTATGGATTCGCAACAAGGGCCTTCTAAACGTGTCCAAAGTGATAAGAAGGGCTTCAAGGAAACTGTACTATAGTGGTTTTATGAAATCGACAGCGATATAAGTGCATAAGCATCTATAGATGACTGTAGTATACTACATAACCATTATAGTGATTATGTCGTTGAAAATAATCACAGCAGCGATTCAGGACTTGTCTGTGAAGATTCTATAGAAAATAATTTTATAGGGTCATATAGTAAAGAATTTGAAATTTTTTAAGAATTTGAAAAAAAAAGAAAAAAGTTACTATGGAAAAAATATTTGTAAAAATTAGCTATAGTTTGAAGCAGTTATTTTTGCTGTTAAAAAAAGATATATTAGAATTTTTTTTGTTTATGTTATTTTTTAAGGTATATTCTTTGAAATAAAGATCGTTTTATTTTGTTTGGTTTAATATTTTTTATAGTTTAATCACAAAGTTTGCACTACTGCACTTTTTGTACATGTTTTGATTAAAACCTATTTGTTTAAATTTTTCTTTTATTTAGGTATTATTTTTGGTGATATTCTAACTTTATATATAGTCCCTAGTATCCCCAAAACCTCAGATAAAAAAAAATAATATAAATAACAATTTTAAAAGGTAGGTGTCTCTCAGACCCCTTAGTACCGTTTATGTCCTGAAAATTGTACCGTACCGGTTACGGGTTAAAAAACTGATATGATAAGTAACAGTTCATCACCCTGTATCTTTTAAACATACGTAATTAGGAAAAATATTTATTTAGATTTTCGTCTTATATTGACTTGCTTAATCTGCTCCTAAATTTACTCCACTAAGTTTAGGGACACCTTGTAAACATCCATTTTGTTGTACAGAGTGAGCAAAAATACTGATTTTCAAAATTTTCAAAAAAAAATTTTTGAAGCGCTAAAATAAAGGGATGGTAAAGAGAAATCAAAAAGTCAAATGAAGTTTTTTCATATGAGTTTTTGATACTAAGATATTTGATATTGAAAATTAAAGATATTAGTTTTCAAATTTTAACACATAATTGTAGACATTGTAGACATGTCAGTTAAAAGTAACAACATTGAGTTATAATCACAAAATGTCAATTTCTACAAAATAATAGTTAAGACCTGAATTAATTTTATTTTTAATAACAAATATCTTAGTAACAACAACTCGCATGAAAAAACTTTATTTGGCTTTTTGGTTTCTCCTTACAAGCTCTTCATATTAGAAAATTTTTATTTTGCAAAATCTACAATTAAGTAAAATCATGATATCCCTTGATTTCATAATGAATTCATCGTGTGACTCATTAAGGATCTCACGTTGCTCATCAAAAGTGCAACACTTATGCATGCCACAGTGACATCACTGAACGAATCAGCAATGATTTCACGTTAGTGTCACAACGAATTCATCGTGTGACTCATTAAGGATATCATGTTGCTCATCAAAAGGGGAACACATATGCGTGCCTTAATTACAACACTGAATGAATCAGCAATGATTTCACGTTGATATCTTAAATGATGTCATAATTGTTATCTGGGATCGTTAGATATTGCAGGTGAGAGTGTATTAATGAATAATATATTGATCTTAGATATTTTTTGGGACATTATTATTTAATTTATATAGAATACCTATGGGTCCAGCAATTTTCCTTCTTAATTTATTAATATGGTCTCGCCATGACAGTAATTCGAATTACGATCGTCAATTATTAGCCCAAGGAATTTAATATTTCTAGAATATTTTAGACTCTCACCTGCCACATCCAATCGTTGCCTATCAAATAAGTTACGCCTATAGATGTACATGTACGAGGACTCAATCAATATTCAAAGTTAGCTTATGAGATTTAAGCCAACTCAAAATCATCTTTAAGTCACAAACAATATTTCTCCTAATTGAGTCATAAGTATCTGAGAAGTATACTAAGGTTGTGTCGTCGGCATATAATCTAATGTTTTCCTTAAGCTTTAAATTTGTTATTGAATTTATAAATACTATAAAAAGTGTGGGTCCTAATATAGACCCTTGCGGTACTCCAAATATTATTTTAATTTTGTCACTGCTTATTCCTGAGTTCTATTCCTTAAATATTCCTCAAACCATTTCACTCTTATACCTAACAGTTTTAATTTTTTTAAGAGTATAGAATTACTCACTGTATCAAAGGCTTTATAAAGATCCAGTGACACCAGTGCACACTTATATGATTTGTCTATGTTCATTTGAATATCTGTTACTAAGTCCACTGCAGCAGAGCTGGTATTGCTGCATCTTCGAAAACCATATTGAAGCTTTGAAAGGAAGTTTATGGAGTTTAAATAGCTTATAAGTTGTCTGTTTACTATACTTTCTATGATTTTGGAGAATAGAGGCAAAACAGATATTGGTCTATAATTGTTTACATTTGATTTCTCACCACTTTTATAAACTGGTATCACCTTTGCAATTTTCATAGCACTTGGCACAGATCCACTTTTTAATGACTGGTTTATAATTCTG